TTGTTGCAGCCACAGTCTCAAGCCATCTCATTGAGGGTTGTCCTCTTTTTCTCCAACCCTCTACTTTACCAAAAATGATATTCTCCAGAGACTGGTTCCTTCTGATAATGTGATCAAAGGCTGAGAGACAAAGTCTGGCCATTCCTGCTACTAAGGAACATTCTGGCTGTACTTCTTCCAAGACAGATTGGTTTGTTCTTCTGGAAGTCCATGTTGTTGTTGTTGTTGTTTCCCATCAAGTCAGCCCTGACTCATAGCGACCCCTCCTTGGGTTTCCGAGGGAGTGTCACTACGGAAGTAGGATTGCCCAACCTTTCTTCACCAAGACCACAATCAAAATATATCAATTTTTCTTTGGTCTTTCTTATTCATTCTTATTTCATCTATCTAGGACCAATTATCAATGCTCATGGAAGTAGGTCGAGAAATCAAATGATATATTGCATTGGACACATCTGCTGAAAAACAAACAAACAAACAAAACCAAAACAACCAAACCCACTGCCATTGAGTTGATTCTGACTCATAGTGACCCTGTGGGACAAAGTAGAATGGCTCCATAGGGTTTTCAAGGCTGTAAATCTTTATGGAAGCAGGCTGACTCATCTTTTTCCCATGGAGAATCTTGTGAGTTCAAATCACCACCCTTCTGTTTAGCAGCCCAATGCTTTAATCACAGCACCACCAGAGCGCCTTCTGCTGCAAAAAGACTGTTTTAAAATCTTAAAAAGCAAAGGTGTCCCTTTGATGACTAAGGGACACCTGACCTAAGCCATTGTCTTTTCAATGACCTCACATGCATAGGAAAACTGCACAATGAAAAAGTAAAACCAAAAAATTAATACATTTGAATTGTGGTGTTGGTGAAACATATTGAGTATAGGCAGGCTGCCAGAAGAACAAATAAATCTGCCTTGGAAGAAGTATAGTCTGAATGCTCTGTAGAAGCAGAGGTGGTCAGACTTCATCTTACTTTGGACCCATCATCAGAAGGGACCAATTGCTGAAGAAGGACAT